TTTACAACAGTGTCTGTTAACGCAAACATATGTGGCTGTGAAACTGCTTTTCAATACGATAAATTACTAATTAACTGGACAAAACGTGTAAATTAGGAATGACGAAGATGATATTTGAACCAAAAATTATGATCAATCTAATTTTAATTACTTTTAATTAATTTATAGACTTTGTTTAAATATCTTTTTTAATACAAACGGACTATTATAAAAAAACGTGTAAGAATATTTGTCAATTAAAAATGCATTCCGCACAAATTTTTAATTATGTTGTTCAATTTTTATTCACCTTTTTATTAAAATATCTGTTTTTTATTTTTAAAGGTGCGTCGTATTTATTATTATTATAGTAACAATTTTTTTTATTGTTATTACTATAGCATTGTGATAATGATAGTTATTATCATTAATTTTATCATCATTATCATCATCATCATCATCATCATCATCATCATCATCATCATCATCATCATCATCATCATCATCATCATCATCATCATCATCATCATCATCATCGTTATTACTTTCTTTTTTTGTATTATTACTGTTGATATTATTATTACTATTTTTATTATTATTACGATTGTTATTATTATTGCATCGATACCATAGGTAGTTTCAGTAAAAGAAAAGAGTTTGTTTCAATTTTTGATGAGCCATTGCTACAAAATTGTTTATTTCTACTTACATTGGATTTTCTACCTTTAATGCGATGTTCTCCAAAAATTATTTCATTGCAGAAAATCTTTAATAACACAAACTTGAAGTGTCATAAAAAATATTGGTACCTAAAACCACAGCAGTTTTGCAGCAGACCTATTTTATCACCCAGAAAAAATCGCGCGTAATCAGTACACATTACGAAGTGAATTAATTCTATAAATCAAAAGAAATTTTTTCGGTTGAATTTTTTCTTTCAAGTAACAAACTTTACGTTGATTGAAAGACTTAGAGCGCAAGTTTTGCGATCCATCGTAAGGCATTTCATTAGACATCGATGCAGGTCCAGATCATGAAATTATCAAGAATTGAACAAAGTGGTTTAGAAATTTTTGTTTTTATTAATTTTTATCAATTTTACAAGTATGACTGATGATAATCACAAACGTTTGGTTCTCGCAATTTTGCGCTAAATGCATACAGTAGTTCAAAAGTTGACAAGTATTTAAACTATCCAATTATTTAACAGTTAACAATAAATCATTACTCTAGGATTCAAGTCAAAATCCCTCAGTCTCTATTGTTCAGAATGAGTTGATAAAATAAATATCTGTGCATCAAATTTTTCATTACTATTGATGAGAGTTAATAGCATTCTAATATTGTTTTGATCCACTGAACGTACAAATAAGAATTAAATTACTTTAGCATGTTATAGTAATGTTTTTTAATAGATTTATGTATATTGGGTATGTCAATAAACTTATGGCTAAATTAAAGCTGCATGTTTTTATCTACACTTTATACTCAAGTTTTACACAATGGAGATAGTGGACTTTTAAACCAGTGATTGGCCAGTGAAAATACACGGGGATAAGAAATACAAAGCAAAAATTTATTGTACTTACAGTATCAAAATATTTAATCATCTTTTGTTTTACTTCCGCATCAAATACAGATTTCAAACCTTATTCTGAATTTGTTTTTTCTTTGCCAGAAACTATATTTATTTTTGCATAAATCAACTTTTTGAAGCAGTAATTTAACTTTATCTTTACATTACTTACATAAAATACAAGTTATAAAAAAGATCACTTTTTTAAATAAGCTTACGTTCATAAAAACATAAAAATATGTTTCACTCTATAGATAATGTACATATATAATTATCACATCAAATCTTCATCCTTCAATAATTTTATTGTACAATAAACTTTGATTAATTATCGCATTATTAAATTTCAACTTGAAGCTGTTGTACTTCACATATATAAAAAGGTAAGCATGAAGACTTGAGAGTGTCATTCAGACTTTATAAATGAGTCTCTTACTCAAACAACTGCCTTACACATTGGTTGCATATTTTTAGAAAAACCTATGCTTACTTACAGTTCGTACATGCCCTAAACATTAAACGCTCTCATCTTCTGGTATATTTGCAGCTGTGTCCTTTGGACTCGATGCTTCTAAGACTACAGGTTCTGATTTTTCGTTGAAATCAATCAAACAAGGATCCAAAATTTTCCATACATGACTGGTCAGACTGTCACTCAAATATTTACCAAGTATACACTTGCGCAGCTTATTTTGGAATTTTTCTTGTGATACTACTGAAATATTTTGTGGCTTGCTGTTGGCCTTATCTGTACTAGTCAAATAATCAATGACATTGTTCAAGCATTCGCTGCTAAGCTTATCAGTCAAAATGTAATTGATTGGAAAATCTTTTGTACTGAAGGATGTTTTCAAAAATGTCAATAACTCCCTTAAAGAATTACCTCTAAGAATAAATTGGTTTTGAAAGGAAGTTGATTTTTCTAGTCCTTTAATTTTTGTTTTAGACATTAGGTCTTTCACTTTATTCAATATGTCATTTTGGTTTTCTAAAGCCAAACCATAGGGCTCTTCCCTTTCATTGCATCCCACTTTTGACTTAACACAAAAAAGATTGATCCACTTGCCAATAACTTCAAAAAAGTTGGCAGCTTCTTTCCAATCATTATACGGGATGTATCCTGTTTGACCATGAGATAAGATTTTTTCTGCGACTGATGTTGAAAACAGCTGCTTTGCAAGTACAACCACTGATTTTTCAGACTCGGAGTCATTCAAGGCGTCATCTATTGTTTTACTTAATTTAGCACTCTCTAATTTTTTACTAACCGTTACTATCTCTTCTATACACTGCCTACTTACATTTTTCTCTTCTATAACAAAGCCATGATCCAAGAACTGTCGTCTTATAAGAGTTAGTAACTTGAACTCATCTGGGAATACAAAAATTTTATGGTTTCTGTTACTTGGATGCAAGAAATAACAATTATCTCCTGTGTCAACACCGATTTTCATCTGATCCCACAAGAGTTTTGATTTGAGATTACAAGTGAGGGCAACAACAATAAATCCTGCACTGTACAGTTGTGATGCTATCTCTGAAATTATGTCGAAGGAAAGAGACCTATTGCGACTAAAGTAAACTGGCTGCATCCATTTGTAAAAAAGTCCTGATGCTATACAGAAAAGGCATTTTTCGTTTGTGATACATAATTCGTCAAAGTAGAGGATCACGATTTTTTGGAAAATCGATAAAGACTTGGACCTGAACTTCATTATGACAAGTACGTCTGTTAACAAGCCCTGAGTGACATTTATTTGAGCAGTCCATTTTCGAATCGTAGATAATCCAGGTAATGGATAGTTGTTTTCTCTCAAGAAGGAGTACGCTTTCAAGCTTACATTCTGCAACGTCAGGGCTGAAATAATATCTTCAATAGTCCACTTTACTTTGGCTTTGTGTGGATTTAGTATCTTCTCTATTTGTGTGGTTGAAAATACATTTTTTAACACTTCTTGAAGCCTTTTTTTTATAAGCACTTTCGATTCCTTCTGCATACGCTTTAAACCTTTCTGAAGAAGTAGGTTTTCGTTTGTCTTTGCTTTCAGTTGCTTTCTTAATTCTGCAATGACAGCTTTGTCACTGTAACATAAGAGTACAGTTTACTTGATGCAAGTTTTAAATTTGTGAGAGACAATTTATTCAATGATTTGAAATAATGTCAACTAATTGAAATAAGATTTTAAAAAATTACCTGTCGAGTTCAGCTTGCGCTTTTTTTTGTAATATTTCCGGGTTGACAGGTCTTATTAGTATAGGCTTTGGTTTAGTGTCAACATTGATTTTTTTTACAGCCTTAGGAGTACTTCGCTTCAGTGGTTGCCCAATTGAGATAGACGTTATATTTTGTTGTGGCCGAATACCAACATTCACAACATTTATGCTAGGTCGCACATGTTGTTCCACAATTTTGGAATCTCCATTAAGACTTTTGTTGACGGCATATGAATGATCCAACTGATGAACTGGTGCTTTGACTTGTTCTACACGGACGTCAAAATTAGGTTGATTCACGAGGTTTATTGCATTAACTGAAGGTAATCTAAAATATAATATACTCTTTAGACTAAATCTTTTAATGACATACGTGTGACTGAGTTGAGGAATTTCATGGTAAAATGTTGACAGCTTGAAACAGTAAAACTCACCTGATATAATGTGGTTGTTTTCTGTTGTCTGTAACTTTTAACAAAAATAGTTTTTGACTATCGTTATGTATGAATTGATGTGTATTTGACGGCCTTATGGCAATATTACTGAGAGGGCTGGAAAAGCTGAATCTAAAATATCAAATAGCACAATCATTATTGTAAATAAAAATTAAATTTAACAGCAAACGAAAAATAATATAAGAATTACTGTTTTGGATTTCTAGGAATCAAAACTTTGTTTGAAGTTATCGTTCTATCAGTAAGCATTGCATCTGATGGTTCACCTCCTCACAGAAAAGAAATCAAAATTCATATACAATAAAAAACCTGTAAAAAATTAAAAGATATATTATATAATAATATAACATAATACAATAATAATGGGTACGAAATAAAAATAATAACCTAAAATGGTACGAACAAAATGTATTATCCTACGCACGTGCCAAACATTAACAAGTACCGCACATTCAGAAAAGAGAGAAATCCGTTACTTAGTTGTATTTTCAGCACAAGTACTATTTTTCATCACTTTACTTATTGTGGCCATAAAGTCTAGCGAAAAAAAAAAACTTCTTGAAGATTCATATGTAGGTATATATGTGTATATATATTAATCTTATTCTTGACGCGCATCGGCGCATAGCGTACGCGTATTCTTAGCGGGTTTACCCGGTTTACAGAGTTGAGAGTTTGAGTCGTTTGAGAGTACACTGCCGTGTGTTCCAGTAGTGCTCTCCGACAACTTACCGACAACTTAAACATGACGCAAGATATCGTGAGACATAATTAAGATGTCGGTAAGTTGTCGGAGAGCGTTACTGGAACACACCCCTGTTCGAAGATTGTGAACAATAGGTATGTATGTACAATGTGAAGTGAACTATAGTCCGCACTCCGCGCCTCGCGTTGCGCGATGTCAACAACACCACTGTCACCGACACAGTTAGGTCGACGCTAGCGCTGCCCGACCATGTGGCGTTACAACGACCTACATAACTTACCTGTTGGCAGTATTTGCGGAATACAGCCTCTGATTTTATCATCATTCTGGTAAAGAGAGCATGGTGTAAGATATACGTGAAGTTATGTGTAGTAATTGTAGTAGTCATCACTTCTAAGTAGTGCCATATGGTCGATTTTATTAAACTATTTATAAGGTCAGTAGAATGATTATACTTTTGTAGGTCGATTTTTTGGTAAAAAATAAATTGTACACTTGCCACAAACAGCACAAACACTGTCAACTTTTTTTTTCGATCTATAAGATTAGTTGCGGCAGGTTTATAATTAATTACATGTGGCTCTTCTGTAATTACAATATTAATTATTTGGATCAGCGCCATCTAGCGTTGCGGATTTCTAAACTAAAAAGTGGCCCTAAAATTCTGACTCAGAGCTTTAGCATCTAGAGCTATTTAAACAACTATAAACCAGCCGCAACTAATATGGTAGAAATAAAATAAAAATTTAACGACAATTGTGCTACTTGCGGCAAGTTTACAATCTATCTTTTGTCCAAAAATCGACTTCATATACATTCAAACCTTCAAAGGTAGGTAGTCAGGTAAAAAATAAATTGTCAACTAACCGCAAAGAGCACAAATATTGCCAACTTTTTATATTATTCCTTTTAGATTAGTTGCGGCTGGTTTATAATTGTCTAAATGGTTCTAGACGCTAAAGCTCTGATGTGATGATGTCCACCCTTGGGAAAGCTTTTTCAACCTACTTCAAGCTTCAGCCAGTTGATGGCGCCACGTACACATAAATGTTGTTAAAAAAAAATCTGAGGTGGTTTTTAATATGCCAATGACGATAGCGTAGCAATGCTGAGCCGTTATACGCACCACTCGTCAGAATGGCTGAAAAAAAAAAAAAAAAAATAGAACAATTTAATGTTGTTGTTAAACTAATTAAACAGTACAAGCGGACCCGAACGTTAACACACATCATAAGCTTTGCAATGGTAATATCACCACAAGAATTAAACTTTTCAATTTTGTCTTTGAAGGTCACGTGAATCGTAACAGACACACGCATGTTATTATTCGGACAAGTATCACTCTTATCACGAGTACAATCAATTTTAAGTTAAAATTATCCCTTTCACGCGTTTATCGAATTAAAGAGGTCAACTGTAAAACGTATAGGCGATTGTAGGTTGTTGTACCCGTGTTATCAGGGCAGTAAGCATTGACATTTATCATTTTTACAATAGAATACAGATCGAATATTGTATCAAAGGGATACATATATGTAATACCTATTCTATTTCCCTGGTTTTACTAACTGGATTCGGACATCAATATTTCGTATTTGCTTAAATATATATTAAAAGAGTTTTTCAAAATACATATAATTAATATTGGTTTACTTTTACGGATCATCAGTAGAAACGTAATATATATATTCTTAGTTGCAGTCTTGTATCACAATACAACGTATTTCATCGAAATGGCCTACGCTGTTTTTTACTAGGTCGAAATTTTTCTCAACACAAGAGTAAGTATTTTTATTCGTGAAAATCTTTGCGAAGACTCAGTCATTCATCGAATGTCAGTCAAGGAAAATTAAAGATAGATCATTAAAGAAAACTCCAACTACACGAAGTGAAAAGTTGTGGCCAAGCGGAAAAGAAAAAATCAAAGCGACTTGATACGTAAATCATATAGAGAATTACTAGACAAGCCATTCGATTTCCATCACCGAAATAAAGTAGAACGTATGGTAAACTGAGGCTCTGGCAACTAAATTGTGGACAAAAGATCAGTCTCGAAAAGCTATCATCGTAGTGGGGGCAGAAATAACGAAGGACGACGTAGGGGTGCGTAGCTGTGATCAGCAGTTAAAAACTCGGCTCGTTAAGGGCGGGTATCGGTGTCTCTCGACCTGGAAAACATTGCGCCGTCGTTGTCGCGCGAAACAGGCTGATCGGCCCGGTACAACGGAGCACCTCGTACTTGGCCCAGCTGTTGAGAAACTCCGGGACGCGGGCACAAAGTCCATAAGCCAAGCGCTCGCTCGCGCGTCCGGCTACGGGAAACTTTGCCAGGGTGTAAATTCTTCGATGAGCAGGAAAACTTGCGCGGCCTTCTTTTCCTTGTGTTTAGGGCTTCCTCCTGCACAGGCACTGCTTATATAGTTTTGAAGTTTCGTTGCACTTTGTACACAGCTTATAAACAGCTTATATACTTTATGACTGAGATCGGCTTTTGTGGTGTGTCCCCCTCCCACCATCGATAATGTGTATTTTTTGCTCCTCTATTAGGAATCATGTAGGGTGTTTGACAAATTTTTTTACTTTACGTGTGATTTCAGGGCTTCCGTGGTCATTTATGTTAACCAACACTCTGACGATTCAGAGCACCTTACAAATTTTGTCAAATAATTCAATAAAATTGTAATGATGAAAATTCCATTAATAACGATTAAAATCTAATGGTATAATATACAAGGGGTATTTTCTACAACAGAAGTATAAGAACGCCAAATTTTATTTCCACGCAGGTGTTGGGGTAGTAATAATTGCACGTGGAAAATATGGAAGATGTGTTTGTTTGATGTCTAGAAAATGAGTCTCTCTTTTTTTTAATTTATGAACTATTTCGATGTGCTCAAATGATACATGCCTTCACTAGGGCACAAAGTACAAAAAGTGAGCGCCCAAAAAACTACAGTGAAATTCCAACGTACAAATCACACTTATTCCAGAAATTCTTGTACAACGAGGACCCATGAACTCGAACAACAAAAGCAATACTCATAAAAATCGGGGACTCGCGCAAGCGTGAAAATGTGATTAGGTCAAGCAGCGCCCGAGTTATTTCCCGAGGGCGAGAAAGCTCTTCTCAAGCACGAAGGGCGGAAGGAAACGTGGAAGGAGGGGTAGTAGGCAGTGGCCTTAAACATACGAAAAGAATAAGTCAAAAGCCGTCGAGGACGCGTTTTTCGAGCACACGCCATACCGGTTTTCTAAATGAAGCTGCCGGTGCCGTGTTCGTGGTGAGAGCGCCAGTGGTGCGGCGACTAATTCAAGGGCCATTCGCACAAGAGAAATGCAAGCTCGAGTGCTCGGCACTTTCGGCGAGCGCAGGTGTACATCTGCTGTACATAATGGCGCGGCCCTGGGAATGCTTTTCTTGCATAAAACTACAGCATGGGACGAGTGACTTGCTGCACTGTTACCTGTTGGGGCGGTAAATAATGCCACAACAACAACCTACAGTCCAGTGAAAACGCCGAGTTGAGATTCGTGGTATAAAGAGGTGCCCCTTACCTCTTGGGAATTGACGAAAATTCGCTCGAAGCGGAAAATTGTACTGACTAACCAAAAGATACAGTGGAAGTGTGCCATTGAAATAATTATTCGAAAAGTACTCATTGCTTTACACTCCCTTTTCTTGAAATTTTACTGTCTTCATTGAAATGACGATTATTCAACATCCCACCCTGAATTTCTCCATGGACACTACTTGGAATGCTTTGAATATTGACTAAGTACGGGCGGAAATGTCCCAACCATTTCAATGCAAATGTCAGCTCAGAACTAATTTCTTTTTTAACTTTTTGGCCCAACGCGTAACATCCTTGTTCTCTGCACGTTCTTTTTCTTTGGATCTGCTTTGATTGCACAGAGGTAGGTGGTACCCACTATCTGAAAAAAAAAAAAAAAACCACAGCGCGTCCGCTTCGATCCCAAAGTTTTCTCGTTCCAGGATGCATAGGTAAAAATCAACAAGTCTCTTTACGATGGCACGTGGCGAATGCTGTTCATACGCGATGTATATGACACATGTTGCACAAACGTAAAGTTTAAGTATACATAAAAGCACACCGTACTTACTTTCGGATGCAGGAATAATGCATGTATTTTGTTTAGCACCAGTGGTACCAACGACGGTGCATCGAAATAAAGGTATAGTTACCACGCTTTGCGCCGATGTCCTTAGGTACCAATTCTCCCAAAATGGCCAACAGAGCCGATTGATCAGATTCTTCGACTTGTAGTAATCTTCTGCGGACGAATGGCTCACACCTGCAAAGATAATAAACAAAAAGTGCGAGGCCGTTGACGTAATTTACGAGCGAAACACTGGTTACCGTCTTCGCAATATTAGCCCTCGCAAAAAGCAAACCCGAGACTTATTGTGCGGTTGAGTCACCGCGTCTCTCGGGTCGCGCATATAGTGGCCCCGAAAATAGGCTCATAAACGTCATATGTTGCGTCGTCGCGTTCCATATATAGCTGCCAAGTTGCCGTTTTTATTATTACGAATGGTGACCGTGTAAGCAGAGAGAAAAAAAGGTAAAAACAAAAAAAAAAAAAAACAAATCCCCTTGGGATGGGGGTGCTGTAACGATTCTCCTAATATGCGTAAGTGGTGGTCGTAAAAAAGATTTGTCGTGCATTTTCTCGCAGACTTTACTTCTTGGAAGGGAATGCGAAATTCGCTTCAATTTAAAGGCCAGCGCAAGGGGAATCGTCCGGGAAAATAAAAAAAAAAAGTACTGCACAGCTCGAAATTGCAGGGAAACAGGGGGTAGCTGGGAAGTAAGGAAGGAAGGAAGGAGGGTCTTATAAAATAAGCAGAACTATTTCCGGGAGTCTCGTGCGCTTAATAGCTTCATCATTTTCGCCACTACGTAATTTCGCTGCGGTGTGTTGCCGGTGGCTGGTATGGGGACTCGAGCGTAATTATAGTGTGGGAGGGTAGGAAAACACTGCCTCTCGGCTTTCTTATATGTCACGGATAGGGGCCGGGCGGTTAATTTCGGCCGAAAGTACACAAGCCGCTAC